TGTGTGTGTGTGTGTGTGTGTGTGTGTGTGTGTGTGTGTGTGTGTGTAGGAGGTGGCTGTGAGGGAACAGCTGGCAGTCAGAGGCAAAGCTTCCAGACGCTGCCTGAGCTCTCCAAACATCAACCGGGTAAGAGAGTTCAGAGTTTGACTCCTGCTAACTACTAGATATGTCGGCTTCTTTGTGTTGGGGGTTTTGTTCGTCGTGTGTCTCTGGTGTTAACCTGTCTCACTACCACCCTGGCTCTAACCCTCTAACCCATGAACCAGCTGTCAGCCAGCAGTCTGGATCTGTACTCCTCTACTCACAGGCTCAATGACTTCAAGGTGAGTCACATAGATCATGTCTACTAATCTTCTCGTTCTGTCCTCAAGGTCCGTCTTTCACATGAATCCTCTGATTGTGTCATTTTCTATACAGTAGTGTAGTGTCCGTTTGAGAAAGAATATATGGTTAATATTCAATATAGATACTTTCTATATTACTTTCTATATACTTTTCTACAACTTAAAACACTTAGAGAGCAGTGATTCCCGACCCGTGGTACTTGTACCTCAGGGGGTACTTCTGAAGATGTGTGTGTGTGTGTATATATTATTACATCTGTAGAGGACATCTATCAGTGTCGTTCCAGTTCTTTCTGCTCACCAATAGAGGCTGTTAAAGGTCACAGGTTATGTTGAGCCACATGTGTATTGTCCTCTTGTATGTGCAGGGCTGGGAGAGCCACCAGGACCTTTCTTTTGTGCCTCCTTCATCTAGACGCACACTGCCCAGCTCCATTTCCCAGAACCTGAGCCCAGAGACAGGTACTGATACAACCTTTGTCTTCTAATGGATTCCTTCTGTCGTCCTCTTTTTGCTTCCTTTGATGTCATCAGCTCCGTCTTTGCTTTATCCTGTGGACAGGATCCTGTGTCTTCTTTGCCCCCTCCCCTCCCCTCCCCTCCCTGCTTCAAACATATAATCTTTTCCTCCTTTCCCTCTGCCCTTGTTGTCTCCGTCTCTGCTCCTGCAACCTCCTCTTCCTCTCTCCTCACCTCCGTCAGTGCATTCAGGCTTTGCTGCGTCTTATCTCTCTCCAGTGAAGGCCGTACCCAAGCTGCTGAAGTCGCTGCTTCCAGGTGGGAGGGGAGATGGTTGGGACCAGGCTGCTGTCCATCATCAGCAGGTACACTCACTCTGGGTTTAAGCCTGTGTTCTGCACTCCGTCTTATCAGGGATTTCAACTTTACATGCATCACTGCAGCATGAATCTAAATATCCCCTCTACTCATCAGCAGCTAGTCCTAGTTCTCCTTGTTGCCATGGAAACAGAGCTTATGTAGATGGAAACACGAGCAATAAACAGATAAAGTAAATGTAAATGCCTGTGCCCAAGATGAGGGGTTTCAGAAGGAGATAAACTTCCTCATAAACAAGTAAAACAAACTGTGCTTTAGTGTAGACCACATATCACTTCTTTAAAAACATAACCCGTGGCTATACTCACTATCTATCTCTATCTCTATATCTATCTCTATCTCTATATATATATATATACACACAATATGTTTGAAAGATTACATCATTTGCTGCTTAATTTTTGAAAAATGGAGATTCAACTTTTTTACCCTTCGATTGGTTTAGAAGAAACATTGTATTTGTAAAAACTAGTTTAAAAAATATGATTTGTATATTTAGTGTCTGTGGTCTGACCCATCTTTAAATGGAAGAGTCCACCTGCTAATAAGATATGAAAATGCTTCATCCAGCTAAGTTATACAAAGTAAGGAATCCCTATTAGCGGCATTATGAATACCAAAATGTAAGTATTCCAATCTTTCTGATGAGAACCAACGTAACTGTCGTTCGGAGCCACTTTGACACCCCCGGGTCTCGACTGTAACTGTCTGCACATACAGCACCAGTGATTGACGGGCCGTACAGTGTTAGTGATCGGAGCAGAAGCTCCACAAACAGCCCCCACTGAGACACAAGCACTCTGCGTGTAGAGGAGGGTTCATTTAGGAGCCTCCTCACCCACTGATCTCCAATCACGTGCCAGTCGAGACCCGGGACGTCCGCAGCTTCTCGTTGCAGCCCAACACCACGGTGTCTGCTTCCACTGATTGGAGCCTTGAGCCGCGGAGGGGAAGCTCATCAGGGCACTGGTGCGGCGGTGTTCGGGGGGAACGGAGCCTCGTTAGTGCATTGTTTGAGGCCGTCGCTCTAATGAGCGCCACCATGCCTGCCACAGGTGTTTGGAAAGGTCGACACGGAAACAAAAAGTCGTGTTCTGACAACATCAGCAGGCTGTTGAGCTGTTGGTGTATCAGATGAGTGCTCGAATGTAACTCTGATCTGAAAAACACTCAGTGCAGTGGATGGATTGCCTTTGATGACTTGAAGTCTTGTCTCGGACAAGATCCAAAATCCTTCACATAGATCTGACTGTTTTCATGTGCTGGATACATTTCTTGTTCCCTATTCAATAAACCCAGCGTGCACCTGTCCCTGCTAGAACATTACGAGGCAGCCGTTCTTCTTCCTGGCGCGTTGTGTCCACTTGCAGGTCTGTCCCGAGCCAGAGAGGGACAGGATAGACGTGTTTGACCTGCTGTCTGATGGTGGACACGGCGTCCCTGTAGGTCTTCGTCCTGCTCCGAGCCAAAGCACAAAGACACCCAATCAATTCCCCCATGAGAGCCACACAATCATCCTGATTCATATCCTCAGTCGAAATGTCTTGATTTATTAAACATCAGACACAAGAGCCTCTTCAAAAAAAAAAAATTGGCTAATCACACACGCTATTGATTGAGCTGGCGGATCATATGGAGTGTTGGAGGTGACTAGCATACTGAGCAGGGATTCATGCTTGTGGGTGCAATCATAATAGTTTTTACCCGTTTATCATGATTTTTTTCATCTGATGAACAGATATTGTTATTGCACTTTCTCCATCTCATATCAACATCTTCACTGCTGATCACAGTGACATCTCTCCTCATATATTGTGCCGTGACAACACACATTTGTGCAGAGTTAATATATTGGAACAGATGGCCGAGTTAGTTATTCTGGTTTAGTATTCTGTGAGGCTGTCGGAGAAAGCAGAAGAATGTTCAGCCCACAGGATCTGACATCCTTCCACTGTTGTAGGTTCTGTCTCCCCGTCACAAGCGTTAGAATGTCCTCACAGCAGCTGATCCCTCCATGCACTCCGTCTAATGAACAGGTTTGGGAATCTACAGGCTTTTATGAATATCCAATCTCCAGGTGGAACCGGACCGAAATGACACCGACCTGCTCGCGATCACATCGTGAAATCTGCTCGACAAGCTTTCAGCGCCGATTTGCAAATGTAAGATTGTTTTATTTGAAGATGTCATTAACGGAGCGTTCCCTTTGTGCCGCAGAGTGTGCCTCGCATCATGGTGCAGTCGGCCAGTGTTGAAGAGGGCTTGAGCAAACATCAGCAGCCAGTAAGTTCTCCAGACCCACACGGTGTGATAGAGTATTTACCAGGAATACTGCAGGACCGCACGTATTTCTGATGCATGGTGTGGTCATACCATCAGTTTGTGTTACTGAGCAGGAACTATTGAATCCAACAAAACACTTTCTCAACAATATTACTCTGAATCTATCTGGATGGTGCTTAACATTGAAGAACTGTTGCACTTATCCTGCTGTTATTATTTTATTGTATTGTTTTCTATTTTGGCGTGGCGTCGGTTATTTTTGTACTTTGTGTGACATTTCTCTTTTTTTAAATTATTGGAAACAAATGAGAGCGATAGCGTTAGAATCGGTTATGTGTAGCATTAGGTTGGTAGAGGTCTCTCATGATGCTCTAATCAATATTTTTAACAATGGATCAAAAGACTGTCCTGTGAAAGAACGTCAAAATGACAAACCCTGGTTTTACATCCCACAACTTCACCGTTTTGGTTGACTCTCACGGCTCTCATCAACGTTGTTTTCAGTGTAAAGCGCTCCATGGTCAGCACCAAACAACAGACAGACGAGGTTAGCAACTAGCTTGTGACCATAGTGCAGCGTTCAGCAGCTAGGAGCCAGATATTTCCCGCAGGAGGTGGAAGAGAAGAAAACATTTGCCAGCTGGACACGACTCCAAATAAATGTTTTTTTCATATCTGTATCAACTTCTCTAGGATGTCGTTACCCTTTTGTTCATGCTACACCCCATGTGGCCATACACTCAGGTGCAGGTCTAAGATATTCAAATCAGTGATTCAGACCAATTTATCTGTGATTCTGGTCTAATGGAGAACAATGAAAGATCAGTGTGAGTGCGCTTCAAAATCACCGCTAGAGTGAAGAAACGGTCAACACTGTCAGGCAGGGATTTAGCCTTCTGCTGCATTCTGAGTCACTAATACCTCTGTTGCTATGTTTTCCCCTCATAGGTTGCCATTGAGGAAATCATTCTTCCCAATTTCCAAACCGAGAGCCCCAGATCTATGCCCCTCCCACCGCCAATCATCCCGGAGACAGAAGAGCCCGCCCTCAGCCCGGTGAGCGAGGCGTCGAGCGGATACATGTCGACTAGCCTGTCTACAGCCATGCTGTCAGACGTCTACACGCTGAGCTGGGACCTGCCCGTGTCATCCGGTAGCAGAACCAACGGCTTTGATGTGGTGCCCAATGAAGAGACGCAATGTGACACTTACTCAGAGTTTATCCATGTGGACCAATCGGAGCCTTGGGAGTCACTGCTGGTTTTGGACGATGAGGCGGCTGAAGAGAGGACGGACTCGCCCGAGTCGTCCAAACCAGACGACACTCCATCGGATTCCAACCTGAAGAAAGAACCTCAAGAACCTGATCAGTCTCTGTCAGCCCAGTTGATGGAGCAAGGAGAGCCTGATTCAGCTGCAGAATCAGATTTAATATGCCAGACCAAACAAATGCAAGACTCAGCCATTGACCACATTGGATCAGAACAATTAGACAATTCAGAGCCACTTAAAGATTCATTGTTAGTACAAGAGAAAGAAACCAAGCAGACAGAATCTTCACAGACAGAAGAACTCGAGCTAGCTGCCACAGACGAGACCGAAGCTGAAGTGTCTGCTCAAGAGGTTCAAAGTCAGTCTGAAACAATCGTCCCACAGCAGCCCAAACAAGACCAAACAACCCTCAACAGTGCTCAAGATCCAGCTCCACATCTGGTCCCAGCTGTGTCCGAGGTCCTGGCTGCGTCTGCGTCCGCGTCCGAGGTCCCAGCTGTGTCTGAGGTCTTGGTTCCAGCTCCTGCCCCATGTGAAGAGTTGGTTCTTCTAGCTCTGTCCAAAGAACAAGCCACTTCTGAGGCCTCAAACCCAGGTGGCACCTCCATGCTTACTTCATCCTCAACCACAGATGAGGTCCAACAGGAAACACCTGCCAACGTATCAAAGAAAGCCACCTCAGCCGCAGCTCCTTCTCCGCCCAGTGTTCAGACCCTCAAACCTGATGCCTCGGTGGCAAACCCCTTCAAGATCCAGAAAGTCAAGTCTTCAGACCTCAAGTCCTTCCATTGTATTGTGGGCGTAGAGGAGGAGAAGAAGCCCGCACAGGTGGACCGGACCAGCAGCCTCAACCTCTCTGTGCCGATGGAAAGCCTGGAAATCATCTCAGACTCTGAGGAAGGAGATGCAGCTGCAGTTCTTCCCGACTGGCTGAAAGAAGGGGAGTTCGTGACTGTGGGGAACAATAAGAGCGGCACCGTCCAGTACGTTGGACCCACGGATTTTGCAGAAGGTACCTGGGTGGGCGTGGAACTGGAGGTACCAGCAGGTGAGCACAACGGCACCCAATCCTGTTGCTTCTTGATGCATTCTACTTATCTCCATCACCAAACGTACCTTTCTCTGTCTTTCTCCAGGAAAGAATGACGGCTCAGTGGGAGGCAAGCACTACTTCCACTGTAACCCCGGCTACGGCGTGCTGGTGAGGCCGGACAGGGTGAGCCGGGCCGGTGGCAAGCGCCGCCGCCAACAGCAGAAACGCCGTAGTGCCAACCTGTCCGGATCCAGCCCCAACCTGGCAGCCCTCACCGCTCTGGCCAAAGGCGAAGGTGGCGGGGCATCGACCGGCCGACCGAAAGGAGAGAACCGCAAGTCGTGGAACACTTGAGAGGATCACAATCAGCTGAGTGGCTAACTGTGGCGCTCACGCATGCAGCAGCTGGTAGACGTGATTATAGGGTAAGCTTTCAGATCGACTACAGGCTTCACTGCATCTGGTTCTTCACTGCAAGTTTGGGAGACTAAGGTTGATCCAGTTCACACTGCTGTGATGGGAGAGAGAACCCTCTCACCATCACATGTAGTACTGTATCACACCTGATGTACTTAGGAATTTAAAAATACTGTTTTATCTAGAAATGTAGATGTAGATGTTTTGTCGATGCAAAGAACTTTTCTCAGATTCATTTCAAAGGACCGTCTCAAAATCAGCACATCTGTTCTTTTAATGTTATTGCGCTTGCCAGGCTAAAGAATGTTAAACTAATCTAAACTCCAAAGGTCTCACGACACCTTCATGTGCTCATACTGTATTACACAGCTGCATGGATTGTATTGACTCTTGGTATCGGTAGTTTTATACTTGTGCCTTGAAGTAGAACGACTACTCAGCCGACGTGCCTTAGTGATGAACCACCAGCCTGCTGTTTAACTGGAGCTCATTTTGGCTCTCGAATGTGTGATCTACTGTTTTAGAAAAAAATGATCTTGCACTCACTTTTCTGACAAATTCAAACATTTTGAATCAACTTATGTGTCAAGATTGATTGGAAGTGACTTGTTTTTAAATGGAATTTTTTTCATATTCTGTGTGCACGGGGATACTTGAGTTATGTTGGAAAGAATTGGTATTAATTTTTGTTTGGTGAACAAGATATTTTATACTATGCCTGAATGCTTATTTATTTAAAGATGAAGACATATCGATGGTGAAAAGCAAAATCACCTTTTTATATTGTTGAATAAATTTCATTCTGCTCTCGTCATCCAATGTGTGATCTTTGTAGAAAACAATGAACACAGGAAGTCTCATTGATATAGCTTTATTCTCTTGTACATTTTATATATATATATATACACACATATATATATACACATGTATACATACACATGTATACATATATATATATATATATATCATACTAAAATAAACACGTTAAAAAAATGAACAAAGAAACTGTACAAAAAATGTATATATACTACATCTTAATTACAGAACAGTCTACTGTCCAAAAAAGGCACTAAATTCTGAAATGGGCAATACAGTAACTTTGAACATAACTAGATTGGAGATTGATACAACAGCTTTCAGTCCTCTTTATATATATTGGGATGAAGTGGATGGTGTTTGAAGGACATGTAGACCCTGACGCACCACGAGAGGACCCCCCCCTTCAGAGTAAGCTCTACCGCCCGGCTCAGGTTTCATGTCTCCACCGGAACCTTCTCCAGCACCTGAGGGTTCTTTCTTCCACCCCATGAAACATCTGTCGAGCCTGAACGCTCGCACCAAATACTGCTGAATTTTTAAAAAAGCGTGTACTTGCTAATTGGGCCGTGGCATCTCACCCACTGAGGCAATTCATTCAAAAGTGTCTTCTAGTGAGAGGAGAACCTCTAAATGCACTCTGTGACGCCTTCCACACGCGACTTATTCCACTGTTTCTAACACGCATGACCGTTTGCATGAGGAGACAACGTCACGCCAAACTCCAGAGAATAGATCTTCAAATGGAAAAAGAGGTTTGCCTGTTCTATCTAAAGGACATTTATTTTATTAGAGTGGAATGAGAAGGAACCGCCCAACGGCATGCTGGGTACATCTCGCTCTCAGTCACTCGCTACAGTATTAACGCTGCGCATACTTTTTACCTTGAGTACATACTGCAGCTGCCCTTACAAAGTATACGTACTTACAATAAGGACATAATACTACGCCTTGACCTTGCTCATATATGCTGACTTGCCTACTGCAAAATGCGAGCAGTGGCGGTAGGACATCCTGGTACTTTTGGGCATACTGCATTTGACATCCTGTGTATTGGGACATACTAATATGGTAGTATGGGCCACCGCCAAACGGCATGCTGGGTACAGCTCGCTCTCCAGTAAAGAGAGACCGGATATTCTCTGGACAGTTAAGTCATTTTCTTGAATATCGTTCATCCGATCAACTTCACACTTGGCGGGTGTATTGCTGAGGAGCCGAGGAAGCACAGTGTCGAGTGTGAAGTCGGTCCGATGAGCGGATCTCCAGAAAGCTGTGAGCAACTAGTCCGTTTAGAGAGAGTACTGCACTCATGACGAGAACTTCAATAGTATCGCAACGAGATGGAACTCTGCATTATATTTTTATACAAATCTAACAGGAGTCAGTCTCTAGTCATAAATAACGGAATTGTAGTATTCATGCTGAATGTAACTTTCTCTGAGCCATATTTATTATGCGTGAAATCAGACATTTCCTTCTGGAGTTTGGTGTGGCCTGGTTTCATGATAGAACAGCACACACTGTGGTAATCACACCAGCCCGTCACAGCATGCTGGACATTTGACATTTTTTAAGGAAGGGAAGGTCACATGTTAAGCTTCAACAGCAATTCTTATTCTAAATAAGGTGCATGATTTTTCATCTTTCACAAAACAGCTTACAACCTCCGACACACACAGGGAGACTGTTGTTCAGTCAGATAAGGGACGACGCACAAGAAGAAAATAAAGGGTTTCAATGATCATGGAAAAATAGGTCAGGAGAAATTAAAACGCTCGATTAATTTAACAATAAAAGCATGTTTCATTTCAAAACATACGTCACTTTTTTGTACATTACCATTAAAAAAAATGAGTATAAATACATATTGTTTTTATCTTTCAACCCTTTCTTTTTGAACACAGTTCCCAGTACCGAGTCACTGTATCCGCAGCTTCGTACACACAGAAGCGGTTTATTTAAATAGAGCTTTACTAGACTACAGACCAGGGCTGGGAGCTGCTCTACAAGCATGATCCAGATGATCTGGAACACCATTAATGTCCATATTTGGCTATTTAAAACATGAGGCATTACATAACTGCTTTGTAGAATATTTTCCCAGTTCTACAAAACCACCACTAAGGCCAGGGTTGCCTTTACAGCAACAGTTTGACATTTGGAGAAATACTTGCTGAGAGATGAGAAGTGATACCTCTCATGCCTGTATGCTAAATACAGTTGCAGGGAGGACACAGCTAGCTTAGCTTAGCATAGCAACTGAAAGCAGGAGAAAGCGGCTACCCTGGCTCTGTCCAAAAGGGATGTAATCTGTCAACTAGCACCTCAAAAGCTCACTGATTAACACACTATATCGTCTTTATAAGTATTAAAAAAGGGCAAAGAAATTGTTTCAGCGCATAAGCTTTTGGAAAACTTTACTCTTTCTTCTCTTTTTTTAAACTTTTGTTGTATGGCTTTAAGTAGACGGAATATAAAGGGTTAATTAGTGAGCTCTAGTTAGCTAGCAGGCAGATCTGTTCAACCTTTGGACAAAGTCAGGCTAACCAGCTAAGCTAACTGTCTCCCGGCTCCCGCTTCACATTAAGCGTACAGACAGAAGGATCTCTGCTCAGAGATTGTTTTGGGAACGTTAAAGCGCTGCTTTTACCTCTAGAGGCTCTGTAGATCACAAAGTGTCCCGAGTGGATTTAGTCTAATTTGACACCACGGATATATATATAAAAAAAAAAAAAAAGAAATCTTCTAAAAGCACATTCTTGAGGCTATTATAAAGAGGCAGCGTCACAGAACAAGTAGTAAATAGCGTCAGGGTATTTCGACGTTATACTTCTAATACCTGTACCGACACAGGCCTGCTGTAGAGACAGAGCAGTTGCAGACAAACGCCATCTTCAGATCAGCTCAGCCTCCTAGCTCGTCTTTTCCTTTGGCATGGGTGACGTTTAAAAACAAAGCACAAATCCCCTTGTTAGACAGCTTAAGTTTGCTTGATTATCACATTGACCCTAAATTTGATTCTCGTAGCCTCGAGTACTTAACGATAGTGTCACTGGGAAGCTAAATAGCGAGGCAAAATGATTGTATATCCGGTAAAAACACGGTAAAAACACACAGAGGGAGATGCAGGTGAAAGAACTAAAACTACTGCTGCTGTTGGATATAAACCTGAACATTGATTTAGACTTTTTTTTAATTATGCATACTAAAAAGTTTATTGTTGTTCCTTGTTCTCAGGGAGAGAAAGAAAAACTTTAAAAACCTGCTGTGTACTGCAAAAAAGTAAAGGTGCAGTTGTTAAGGCCAGCCTCGAGGTTTAAGGCTACTTCTTTCTACAGGTTTTCATCCAACAGCAGCTGGACTGCAGGAGACAAGGAGCCGCTCCACTGAGAACTACAGGAGGGGGGGGGGGGGTCAGCTGATGTGATCCCTTCTCATGAGAGAAGGTAACTCTCAGCATCCATCCTTCACCGGACAATAGGACGCTGCACGATCAAAGGGTGAATCCTGAGGGGTACGTAGGTAGAGTGTGGCTGAGAACCATAGGAACCATATATATATATATATATTTATATATATATGCTATATATACAGTACACGTTACTATTCTGAGGTTGACGCTGAGGTGAGATAGACTGAGGGTCGGCTCAGACAACTAGGCTGGACAGGGAGAGGTATCCTGTGAGGAAATAGTGTGTTCGGGGGGGGGGGGGGGGGACGACACACAAATCACAGACTAGGGTCACCATTTTTGGGGGGTTAAAAGGCCTGGATTGCCCCCTTTTCTTCTCAAACAGCCCCCACTGAGACACAAGCACTCTGCGTGTAGAGGAGGGT